GAGTTGATAGACTAAACGCACGGCGCGGTAAAAATCGTGCGACTTTTAATCATTCACGAAGACCCCCCATAACGTGTGTCATGTGGTGGGCAGCTTCGACCGGCTGGCACTGATGGTGTCCCGCAAGCGGAGCCTGCCAATGCTGCAGCTGGCGGGACTCAACCCGGTCTACATCAGCGCGGACGTCATGAGCGGGGAGCGGGAGTGTCTGTCCATGTTCCCGGTGGGATACGGAGACGAATACGTGGAAATTGAGAGTGTCAAAGAAGAGGAAGTTGTGGTGATGAACTCTCACTTATACTTTAATTTCTTTATATATCCGTCTCCTCATCTGTTCGTGTTCCCACCTCCTATAAGGTGTGCCTTAACATTGAATATTAACTAGATACTCATCACTACTCATTAGTATTTCACGTGGAACCATGAGAGACTGTCGTCTACACTGCATAGTCAGTTAAGAGTATTATTTACAAATTTGTTTATTTCAGTTGAATAAATAAATAAATTAGTAATCTTCTTTAGACTACTTTACAGGCTCTCAAACACTAGTTGACAACCGTCTCTGGGTCCGCCTATCCAATAGTAAACCATTATCAACATTCATACGACATCAGAAGAATACATACCATCTGAACGTATAATCAAAGGCGTGATGCTTGAGTCTTTCACTAAAAATAAACTTTTTGGTTTACAGGAAGTAGTGGAAGTCGTACCGGAAGTAGCAGAGGTATGCCAAACTTATCACGCTGTTAATTTTTTTTATACATATATGTATATATATTTGATGGGCCGACGTTTGACCACTATCCCGCCTGGTGGTAAACGATGATGCGGTCTACGATACAGTCGTATTGAATGAGGATACGTTGTCCGATTCTTGTCCGAAATGAGTATATGCTACAAGGCGTGCCATTCCAACCCCGAAAAGAAATAAGCACTGGTCACTGACGCCACGTTTCCTCAACGCGGTTCGTAATTGGACCACCGGTAACCTCACTCACGCTACGAAACACAACACAAGCGTTGCTTCACGTCGGTTTTCTGTGAAGCCGTCGTATCACTCCGGTCGAGCCGGCCCATTCGTGCCGAAGCATGGCTCAATGCTTTGGCAATAAAAATATTTTGTTGCTGACAGACTCCAGAACCTACCGAACCTAAAGCGGCAGAGGAAGAGGACGAGGAGGACGAGGAGGGCGCCCAGGAGGCGTGAAACATTTATGAAAGGTTATAGACATCACTGGTCTATATGACGGACATTAAACGGTTAAAATAGCTAGCCCAGTTTGTTTGTTTGATTTGAATTTATTAAATGGAATTTTACCCCTTTCGTATGACTCTTGATGACCATGCCATATGTCTAACTAGCAGCTTCCACACACGGTTTCAACCGCTTTACACGCCACCTTTTGATCGTAGCGTGATGTTTTATAGCCTTCCTCAATAAATGGATTATCCAATACAAAACCGAACGAGCGCCTAGTTTCACTGACGGACGGACTGACAGACTATTATTTATTTTATATTTGTTGACGTTTCAAAAGTACCAAATTACGATTTAATTGAAATAAACGCTATTGTGTTTGAGTTCGACTTTGAGTCAAGAAGATTTTTTCAAATCGGACTATACTCGGAATTTTAATTCGATTCCAGATTTGACAATTTCAGTGTTGCAACGTTATGACAAGTACTAAATAGTGACGTTGCGAAATTATTCGATATGGAAATGCAATATTTCTGGATCGATTCTTCTCGTTTATAATTTTACTCTCGTAAACTAAGTATATCAGGAAATTAAATATTTCTGAACCGATAATTTAGTTTTGACGAATAATTAACGATCTGAGACTTTTCTTTTATAATTGTGTGTGAAATAAATAAAAAAATGTAATTATGAAGGAACATGACAAATAAAACAGATAGATGTATTATGGTAATAAGTTATTTTATAAATTGTCGCCGTCATCGCTATCCCTATCCTGTCATTTTCTGTAACATTTATTATGAAACACACACACTGATTGTTTATCGATTTTTTGTGTTCATCACTACACTATTATAAGTGGTATAATTATTTCACAAAATGACAGTAGCTATTGTCAAATCTGGAATCTAATTAAAATTCTGACTATAGTATTTCCTGAGATCGAACCTGAGATTCCAACTTTATCACTACATAATTATAGTACATTCTGATGTAATAGATATCAACCACTTCTTATATTAATTTACCAGCTTGGCTTGGATAGGCATAATCTACTTCTGTTCCAAAGGACAATGCCAGGTGTTCAGTACATCTTTCACCCCCTATATTAGAAGTCATGTACAAGTATGCAGTATTCAGCATCGTGTAGTGTATTAATTACCGATACCTAAACATTTGTCTTGAAACCTGTAAAACTTGCGGTTTTTGTTTAAAACACAAAACAATAATGATAAATAACGCGAAAACAACCGAAACGCAGAGAGCGAATGAAAGATAATATTGACACTGACAGCTGACAGCTGACGAGCGCTTCAAAACGTTTCGTTACACAAAAAAATCATAACTAATGATAGTAATCGTTTCTTTTATATTTTCGTGATTTTATCTGTAATTATTAATAAATAAATAAATGTTATACATAATTATACTTTTGATATAATATTTTATGTATAATGATATCTTTTTTACAGTTACTTACTTTTTTATTTTCATAGTTTCGTACAAGCGATGCGTGTGATGTAACGCAAATAGCCATTAGACAATATGGAAGACGTATTGCAAAAAACTATTTCCGGTATTGAACTTCTTTTTTTATTAGATTGCAAACCGCAAGTTTAAAAATAAAAAGATTTATTGTGAAAGGATTCGTCAAAATTATTTTCACCAATTTACTTTTTTTGTAAATGATATTATCACTGGGTCAGGATCTGGCATTGTCATTTCATCTCGATCCCTTCAGCCGTTTTGACGTGAAAGAGTAACAAATACATACATACATCCTCACAAAATTCGCCATTTATAATATTAGTAGTACATTTAATGACAATATAATATTTGCAAACCAAAACCATCCTGAATATATCACTACATCACTACATAGTATAAAACAAAGTCGCTATCCGCCGTCTGTCTGTCCCTACGTATGATTAGATCTTTATCTAAAACTACGCAATGGATTTTGATGCGGTTTTTTTAATAGAGTGATTCTTTAGGAAGGTTTATATGTATAATACATGCATATTGCACCCGTGTGAAGCCGGGGCGGGTCGCTAGTATATAAGTAAGTATACAGCATATAAGATACGAATTAGGCATATCAAAAGTAAAGGTTTGATTGGTAGAACACATAACATGAAATCACACCTTTTATCCCCGAAGGACTAGACAGAGGTGCACATTACGACACTTAATGACATTCACATTGTACAATGTAACACCACTTTTCACTATTTATGTCATGAGTCCCATGTAATAGAGAGTGAGCCTATTGCCATATACCGGACACAATTCCAGACTCCGTGCTACAACTGAGATTTTTTTAATGATTGGTAGAATAGAGCTCGTTAAAACAGTTGATGAAAAATACTTTTACGTGTAACTAAAACCGCTGCGGTTCCGCCGTAACGCTGTCAGGACTTTAATCATAGAAAGTATTATAAAGCGCTACCGTCTGCCACGTCACCTGTACAGCCGCCATTTCTCGATATACATGATAAGTATCATCATCATCATCAACAGTCTAAAAGCCCACTGCTGAGCAAAGCCTCTTCTCACACGGAGAACGGGACGCACCTGTGACTGCTCTGGTGTTGCGCGTGTCCATGGGCGGCGCTGATCGCTTACCATCAGGTGATCCGTCTGCTCGTTTGCCTCCTATTCCATAAAAAAAGAAGGTTTGAGCATTAATCACCACGCTTGCTCAATACGGATTGGCGATTCCAAACTTAATTAGAAATAATAAGTCCGGTTTCCTCACGATTTTTTCCTTCACCGTTTGTCAATGGTGTCGAAATAATCTTATAAAGTAGGTACATATAAATCGGAAAAAGTCACATTGGTTCTTGTCGTTGGTAGGTTTCGAACCCGCACCCTCGTGCATGAGAAGCGGGCGTCTTAAACCTCCGGGCCACCACGACACAAGAATTTGTCGTGACAGAACTACACACAGCGCGACTAAAAATTGATAAGCGTTTGAGTATTTGGACTTATTAGAATATTTTTTTATTTATAAAATATAAACAATAGGGTACTTTCCTAAATTTTATTTTAATGTCCGTCTGGTAGATTCATTTAAAAAAAAACATTAGACACGTATTTTTTCTTTTCTCACAAAATTAAATACTTTCGACGGTATATTTATTTATTTATTTATTTATTTATTTATATTCATTTGAAATATCGTGTGACGTCACAGCGTGTCACATTTTGTAGCGCGTTATGACGTAACATCCTCCCACTCCTAAACTTAGCGCCATTTTATCTAAGTATTGCAACTTAATAAGAGAAATTAAAAAAATACGAATCTAATATTTTTTCATTATCTAACTGACGGACTAAAGTAATTAGATTTTTAATTTTGAGAGCCTGGAAACTACCCAATTCAATAATATTTATTTATTTATATTATAGGTACCATAATCCGCTTGGTGATTACAAAAAATAATCCACTTGGCGGTACAGATGGAGATCGCAGTCGCAAAAGCGTCAAAAGTACCTACTTTTTTTAAGGGGGAAAAATCATCGAATGACTGCTCCCGCCTCTATGAGGCGGGAGGGAGTGTCAGACTCTTATTGACTAAAAACCACCCCGTTCCTTCTCCTGCACGTCGAGTCGAAGCCCCGGTTACCAGTTAGGTTCTCCGCGACATATAGGTACCCACTTACATCACATTTTCACCAGTAAATTCATTCATCAACGAAAATAAATGAAAAATTAATTGGAACAAGTATCGGATAAAACGGTGGTATGTTCTTTGGTACCTAGTTATTGCTTATGTACCGAGTGAGACTGGGTAGAACACGTTTCTCAGTATTTACTGAAGCAACATTTTCTTGTAAACGAAGTAAAATTTAATGTTCCTTAACACGTTAACCGCCGCGTTGGTCACCGGTGACCTACGTTAGCGGAGGATTTGCCTTCAGCAGTTTTCTGTCGGCAGTCAAAGGCTTAAATATAAAGGACAATGTTGACTGCTATAAAAAGAAATTCTTGCATAGAGCCAAATTTCACACTTTGTGCATTGTGCCTTGTTCTCATGAGCCCCTCATTACTGGCGTGCTATTCATCGGGGCAGCACTATGATTGGCAAATCACAAAAGTAAAGTTTCCCGTTGTTAGTAACTACTTCGCAACAGAAAAAAATTCCAAAGTAAAAAAAATTAAAGACATCGTAGACAAGTATAAAGAAATGGGTTTACATGGATTTCCTCCATCTGACAAAGTTGTTAAAAAATGGAGGGACTGGTACAAAGATTACAAGAAGAAAACTAAAAACGCTGACTTCTTCAATAAGAAGAACAGAGACAGGCTTAAGGCAGAGCGAGATGCTGAAGGCGGCTGGCCTGGGGCACTTCAATGGTTAGGTATACTATCTTTGTACCTATATTGCGTAATATTAGAAAACAGAACAGGTTAAGTCTCCTCTAAAATAGAAGATCTCCATAACCGCGAGATGACATTCCGCGAAGCCGAAATTTACCCTCTGCCTCTTTCTAGAGGCCGATGTGCAATGTTTATCGCCGGTAGTTATGGCGTTATTTGATCACCTCTTTTAATAATTATTTTTATGTTTTCACTTGCTACACAGATCTTGGCGAAGGTCTCGGTGGAACTCCAGTCCCACCATGGGCGTACGTTCTGAAAAACTCCGGCTTACCTCAGGCTTGTATGCAACCTATTCAAAGGGAAAACAAATGTTTCGACCCGTCCATGGGTAATTGGAAAAGAGGAGGGTTAGTTTTGCTTTTACATAAATTCAATAATCATACTTGATGACATACACGACACCTCCTGACTCCTGAAGCACGAAGGTATTAACTTGCTTCATGGTACTAACAAACGACTAGCTACTACCCAGCCGTCGCGGAGGACACTCTGGGCGTCTGGGATCGCAAAACAATATCATGCACGTAAGCACGGGCCTGTGAATGGCGAGCATGGGCAGCTCGCCGCCCTAGACCCTTATAACTACACCCATACCGGCGTATGTATACAACCGTACGGCGCATCGCGATCCGCGCGCCTCAAAGAGCCATCAGGCCACCACAGGCCGGTGCCCAATGTCGCGGAGAACCTAATGGGTAACCGGGGCTCCGACTCGACGTGCAGGAGAAGGAACGGGGTGGTTTTTAGTCAGTAAGAGTCTGACTCTCCCTCCCGCCTCACCCAGGCGGGAGCAGTCATTCGATGAGTTTCCCCGCTTAAAAAAAAAGGCCGGTGCCCAATAGGGCTGACCCAATAAGGCTGATGCCGATACAGACCCGTGGAGAATGTAAAAGGTTACCGGGGCTCCGGCTCGAAGTGCAGGAGTAGGAACGGGGTGATTTTTAGTCAGTAAGAGACTGAAACTATCGAAGTTATTCGACGATTTACCCCCTTAACATTAAAAATAGATACTCCCGCTCAGTTTCATTCCTTCTGCTTGGATCCTTTTGATATCCTTTTGATCAAAAGGAACCAAGCAGATATGTACATATAATAAAATCGTCGATATACATATAAAAGTCAAAACTGTACATTGAATATTTTTGTAAAAAGAATAATTGAGGCGACTACAATCGATCCGAAGCCAAAAATTTGGTTTTTAGAATTTTTATCTGTTTGTCTGTATGTATGTCCGGGATAATCTCCAAAAGGACTACATGGATTTATTTAAAATTTTGCATGAATATTACTAACAGGTCGGGTCAACGTATAGGCTACATATTATCACGCTATCATAGACGGGGGAGGAGCTGTGAATAATAATTCCACTCAAAGTCGCGGGCAACAGCTAGTAGGCTATCATATTTTGTTATGGGCTTGTGGCAAAGAATTCTTACCTATCAGTGGGTCGGTAAATTTGATAACTGACATGTACTGACGTACATATTACATGAGACTCATAACATAAATACTGAAAAGTGGGTGATACATTGTACAGTGGCATTAAGTGCCGTAACGTGCACCTGTGACTACCCCTTCAAAGATAAAAAGCGAGACGTTATGGTATGTTTACCTTTTGCTTTTTAGTTTATAACCAATAGTTTGTTTTTAATTCTTGGTTTTTGAAAACGACTTCTTATAACAACTTGTTCTATTGTTTTTTTTATGGCATAAACCGGTAAACGAGCGGACGGATCACCTGATGGTAAGCAATCGGCGTCGCCCATGAACACCTGGAACACCAGAGGCGTTACAAGTGCGTCACCGGCTTTTTGGGAATTAGGAGTTTGAGGATCGTTGGGGATTCAGGGATTGGGGAGATTGGGGAAGGGGAAGGTAATTGGGCCTCCGGTAACCTCACTCACACTACGAAACACAACGCAAGCGTTGCTTCACGTCGGTTTTCTCTGAGGCCGTGGTATCACTCTGGTCGAGCCGACCCATTCGTGGCGAAGCGTGGCTCTCCCACACTTGTTGTGTTGTTTCCATAAAAACACGGGTATGTGAGTTTGAGTGACCTAAATATGTGAGTTTGTGTGTATGTTTGTCACATCAAAACGGCTGAAGGGACCGGGATGAAAATTTGAAGATAGGTTATGGTTTGGAGTAACACATAGGCTACTTTTTACCCCGGGGAACGCGGGTGAAGCCGCTGGCAGAAGCTAGTCATGAATGATTTCTGTGACTTGTAGCACTTTGTTGGAAAGGCTGTTATTTATTTTATTTTCAGCCATGATCGTCCCACTGTAGGGCAAAGGCCTTCCGACCCTCCTTCCACTTCTCTCTATGTAAAGTATTTTGCGGTCAATCCTTGTCATAGATATCTAATTCGTCCCGCAATCTCCTTTTGGGCCTGCCGCAACGTTGATGTTAATGAAAGCTAAATTTTTTTCTTTTTAATAAAACAAAGTAGGTACAAAAAATTGATTAAGATTTTCCTGCACTAAAAACCTATTTAGTAGAATAACTGAACCAATATTCGCTTTTTATTAATGAATTTCTTCTGTTATTTTTAGGTTTGGGTATCATCCGTACAGAGGAACTTGTGTTTTCTACGAAAGTTACACATGTCAATACAATATTAATTTTTTCCACAGCAAGGAATACTGTGACCAATATTGTTCTTACGCTAGGCCAGCATCATTCTGTAATATGGCCAACAATGTCCCTATAGACTATACTTACATTTATGACCAGTAATAAAAATTACAATAGTGTCTTCTCATGTCTGTTTTTATTTAAATCACCCATTTTAATGTTAGGCTACCGATTTCCGATATTATCTCACTTGCATTGGAATGTGTGAACTACACGATTGGCGCGGTCGGTGGTTGGGCAGCTGGCTGATTTAGATTTTTATAAAAACAATATGTGATTAAAGACTGCTTCGTTGGCCGAGTGGTCGCAAGTGCGACTGCCGGGCAAGGGGTCTCGGGTTCGATTCCCGGGTCGGGCAAAGTATTACTGGATTTAAAAAAAAATCTCAGTAAGTAGTAGCACGGAGTCTGGAAATGTGCCTGGTATATGGCAATAGGCTCACCCCCTTCTGTATGCACCTCTGCCTACCCCTTCTGGGATAAAAGGCGTGATGTTATGTATGTAAAATCAATATGTATTTAGGTACCTACATTACATAATTTACTAACATGGGTAGTTATGTGTATGTAACGTGGAATCTTGCTACTAAAGAACAATGCGAACCATATGTAGATAAAATATGGAGTCTGGGCCCACCCCTCAATAGCAACATAATCACATGTTGCTATTGAGGGCGTACCAACGCCGCTGCATAGAGCTTCTTAAAAATGGAACAATAGTTGCTAATACAACTATGGTCAAATGTTAGTACCTATGTCCTAAAGTCATTTCAATTTGAAGTCAATTCAATTGTTTGACCTGATACCTGCCGCATCTTTTCGCCATCGACCCTCACGACAGAATATACATCCCCACCATATAGATTGTTGGCAGGCCACAACTGTGCGCTTCTCAAACCTTCAAGAAAAGAGCGTATTCCTTTTTAAAAGGCCGGCAACGCACCTGTAACTCCTTTGGTGTTGCATCCATGTCCATGAGCGGCGATGATCGCTTACCATCAGGTGATCCGTCTGCTCGATTGCCTCCTATTCCATAAAAAAGTATTATTTATAATTTAAGGATATTGTACAAGATTTTTATATTATTATCTTTTTAGATGTCCTTTCTACCTATTATTAGAAGTTAGAACCAAGTTTGATACCAGAATTATCTTATAATTATTTTACAATTAAGTGAGTTATGATCATAACTCTGAAACCACTGACGTTTGACCATTACCGCTGCACTTATTATACCCTTTGCCTAAGAAATAAATCACTTAAATCAAACCAGTAGGTACGTTATCATTTATTAATGTTTTTGTAGTAGTATCGGGAATTTTTCACTAAAACCAAAAATGTTGAATGAGATATTCACTTTCGGACTAGGGACTTCAGGGCTATTTTTGTTGGAAATTAGTTGTATTATCATCTCCCGATAGGAATACATCGAGTTACAGGTCACCCTGCATAGAAACGTTTTTTTCGTAGGTGTTTCCTCCTTTGGTATTGAAGGTGTCCATGATCACGTATGCGCTGATCGCTTACCATCAGGTTATCCATATGCTCATTTGCCTCCTATTCCATAAAAAAAATACATTTTTGTCTGTTATCAAGTGGTTATCAGCTATGACACAAATGACAGTGACATTAAGCTCCATACGTCATGTTATTGGCAGCTGTCAATTCGTTGTGTACAGTCAGCCAAACACTATATACAGCACTGTTGAACAGGCATTTACAACTTACAATAATTTTATTTGTAATACGGATATGTAATATTCATTTGGATTCGAATATATATGAAGCCATTAAATAGTTATACATAATTTGAAACTGTTGGCGTAACACAATTTTCATTCTTTTCGAATAACGTTTCTTTCCGTTAAAATTGTAGGTGTATACAATTAACAATACATTGTGATGTTTGGGAAAAATCTAAATAAAATTAGTGTTTAAGTGTGGTGCAGTAGTTTATTCCTTATGAAATAGATATTTGGTGATATTAGTGATAATGAATACGCGAGTGTTGTCCGTGTTGATGTGGAAACATGCAATGGTTAGGAAACGAAGGTTTATCCAGACAGCTGTGGAATTTGCGTCACCTCTCATGTTTTTCTTATTGTTATTTGCTTTCAAAAATCAACTGATACGAAAGCCTTCTGCAGAACAAAGAGACCCAGTGGCCAACACGGTGAGTTAGAATTTATGCTAGCCTAATAATACTAAAAATTTATATGCAAGATTACTTCCAATGAAATCCTGCATAATAAACTAAAAAGCGAAGCTGATTAGATGATGCACACTAAAACCATACTTTTCGAAAACTTTACTTTTAAATCTAAAAAATATATTTTACATTTACCTAATTTGCATTATTTTTTAATTACTTAATGATCTGTTTTCAATTTAATTTTAAAAGAATTTTCTTCCTTACCAGACAAAATATATTCTTAGCTGTCTATGGTTTTGTTTTTTATCTCATCTAACATATTTTGTAAAGAAGTTTATTAATGATTACCTCATTAGCCGAGTGGTCGCCAGTGTGACTACCGGGCAAGGGGTCTCAGGTTCGATTCCTGGGTCAAGCTAAGTATTAATGGATTTTTAAAAATAAAACTCTCAGTAGTAGGACAGTGTCAGAAAATGTGCCCTGTATATGTCAATAAGTTCACCCCCTATTACATGAGACTCCTAACATAAATAATGAAAAGGGGGTGTTACACTGTACAATAGCTTTAAACTGTCAAACACCAAGCGGTCACCGGTGACCGCAACCTATTGTTCTATAATTGTGTCTATAATGACGGTACTCGACTTCCATTTTTATTCCCGAAGGGGTAGCTCTAGCTACCCCTTCGGAAAAGGAGTAATGTTATATTATTTTTAATGACTGCATATGAATTGTAGTAATTAGAATTTGTCATAGTCAAAAACTATACAGCTGAAGAGTTTATTTGTTGGAATGCGCTTGTCTCTGGAGCTACAGGTTCCAATTGATTAATTCTTTTCAACTGACTTCAAAAAAAGGAGAATGTTCTCAATTCGACTGTATGTTTTTTCTTTTTTTTATGTTGGTTTTGTTAGCTAGTCCATTTATTGGGAAAGGTTATAGGCCATAAAACATTACAATAGACGCTAACCAGCGGGTGAAATTGCATGCAAGTAGTTACTTGGTTTTAAATACAACAGTCGCCCAATACTTTGTATCTGAGAGCCATTGTTACCGGTTTAAACAAGTAGTTACACAAGAATAAACTACTTGTCTAAGAATCAGTTCTTATTTTAGACTAAGAGTTTTTCAAATAACAGTAATAATTACACAAATCACACTAATATTATAAATATGACAATTTGTTTATTAGGATGTTTGTCCGTCACTGACACTGAAACTACTGAATGGATTTTGATGAAATTTAGTATATAAGCCGTACCCTATAGACTACTCTGGCGATAGGACTTTTTATCCCATGCTATCAAATACTCCCATGGTATAGAACAAGAATCATATTCCATGTGGATGAAGTCGCAGGCAACAGCTGGTAGTTTGTTTTGTTTGTTTGTAGTATGTATGTAGGTATATTACCTACTTAAGTAAAAAAAAATATCCAAATGGGTCATTGTCTTAATATTTGAATGATAATTTCTAATAATGCTGTGTGAATGTTTATTTAATGACTAAACATAATTGTCCATACAAGGTGTTGTGAGAATACTCGGGATCATATCACAGAAATCATAAATGTTCAATTTAAGAATGCAGAAGTTGTGGCGGGCTTGTCCCAAAAAACAAATAACACTTATATACTAATTATATTATATATCTTATATTTTATACTATTATATAGCGGAAGAGTTTGTTTTTTTGTTTGTTTTTTTGAACGCGCTAATCTCCGTAACTACAAGTCTGAATTGAATAATTCTTTTTGTGTTGAATAGCGCATTTATCGAGGCTATAGGCTATAAAAGATCACGCTACGACCAATAGGAGCTGAGCAGAGCGTGCGAAACCGCGCGGAAGTAGCTAGTTATTATATAAAGCTGAAGAGTTTGTTTGTTTGTTTGACGCGGTAATCTCGGGAACTACTGCTTCGATTTAGAAAATTCTTTTTGTGTTGGATAATTCATTTATTGAGGAAGGCTATAAGCTATAAAACATCACGCTACGACCAATAGGAGCCAACCAGAGCGGGTGAAACGGCGCGGAAGAAGCTAGTAAACAATGTAACTAATGCCCAATGACATTTGACAGTTGGTGACAGCGAGGCTATCAAGGAGATTAGAAACATCTTGTCTCTTAAGTTTATTATACTTAATGCTGCCGTCACCATCAAAGTCCAGGGCCAGCTCATTTCTATAACTTGTTAGTGTCTTCTGGTATTTTAATTATAATTAATGCCCAATTTACATTTAAACTTCTTTAGTATTATCGGACTTGCTATTAAAAAAACATTTTTATATGCTCTACTTAAGCCAAGGACATAGACGATCGATATCATCCCCTCTTAACTTGGCGCCAGCTTGTCTCGCTTTATCCATTGGATGTTTGGCGCTCAGCCAGCAAGGCTATGTAGGTAAAGGGGACTTCCTAGTATGTAACATTCTTAACCTAGTTGTATCTAAAATGAGTACTATAAATAAGTATAGGTATGGTATTTTCTCCCAGTCTGTTGACTCCATGTATGATCTGACCCATATGAAGTCAAAGTCAAAATCATTTATTTGAATTAGACCAGAAAGGCACTTTTGAACATCAACAAAAAATTAAAAGTAAAGTTATTTGCTCATTCCAAGGAGTAGATTCCTATAGAGAAAAACGAGCAAGAAACTCCATAGGTTACTCTTTTTCAATCATGTTCACAATACAATTCTCTAATTACATAGTTTTGAGTTTTGTTGTTTGGATTGTGCGAGAACAATGTAACACTAAAATCCAGTCAAAGAGATCGACCATCCAATAAAACCTGCAATATAATCTGCTATACTTCTCGCTATTATGCAACTGTCCTAAACATGCCATAATATCAAATCTCTTAACACTCACGCCTAGGAATGTTTCAGCTGGAAAATAATAATGGTTCCGAAAAACAAATTAATCTCCAGCGATCTGTGGCCGACTATAAAAATGGATCTTCGAATAACAAAACTAAACTTCCGAATAGAATATTGAACCTCCGACAAAATTACTAAGTTACCGACAACAGAGGTTTTAGGTTAGGTTAGTATTGTAGCAATAAACAGTCATGTAAAGTAGTCGGAAAGTTAGTATTTTAGGCAGTAGATTTAATATTTTCAGTAAGGACAAATATTCTTTTCTTGTCGGAGCTTTTATTACTACCCATTATTTGATACTACTTAGTTTCTGCCAGCGGTTTCACCCACCTTCCCGTGGGATGAATGAGTTATTTCCAGATCGTAATCTACCTCTGTTTCAAATTTCATCCGGATTCCTTCAGCCGTTTTGACGTGGTTGAATGAGAAACATACACACGAACTTTAGCAATTATAGTTTTAGTAAAATTATAAACGTGTTAACTTCTTCTGATACATCCAGTATTATTTATCTGTTAGGTACTTTTAAATATTATTAAAAGATGTTTTTATTAAAGATATTTTTATTTAACATCTTAAAATCGTTGTTATTTCTCTTTTCACAGGAAGTAGTGCCTATGACAGATTTCCCGGCTCCCCGATGGATCTTGTTCTACCCTGACACACCGCTTACCGAAACACTAATGGATGAAGTGGGCCTCAAACTTAAAATGAAGAAGCTTAACAAGTTTCCTGGTAAGAATATGATAATTCGGTAATAAGTAACCTATATGTTATTGCAGACCATAGTCTATCTCTGTTCCCAATTTCATCCCGATCTCTGCAGCCGTTTTGAAGTGATGGTGTAATAAACGTAGGTACACACAAAGTTTCGCATTTACAAGAAGATTGTTGCATAATACAAATGCGTGGTCTGGAGCCATAACAAGGAATCATGTCGACTATGATTACGTTGAAAGTATACAATCACTGTTTATAAATAAACATAATGTATTTTCGATGCAGTCATTGTATTTTTAGACAACTAAAGCAATACCGTCCAAACAATCATGACTGCACTACACAATTGGTCTTAGAGCGATGACTGACTGACCGACTGATGCTATTTTGATTTATTTTCTTACTTTTTTTGAACATAATACCTATAAGGCGTAGGAGGTCGAGGGTGGTACTACTTAAAATGGTGACGTCAATAACGTAGACGTCACATTGTTTGAGGAACTGGTTATTCTCTAAGGAATCCTCGTCTGTCGTCTCTCTTGTATTTCGACATCGTAATCAACCAAACACTAAACAATTAAATAATTTATAAACTAATTTCAAACGTAAAAAATATTTTAAATATTTTTTAATAAAATATTTGAAATATTTTTTACGTACACTTTGCGTGATCCACAAATTGTTGTTTCCGGTCTGGGTGTCATATGTATGTGAACTTGTATATTTGTAAACGCACCCACGACACAGGAGAAAATTCTAATGTAGGGCAAAGTTTAAAAAAAAATATTATTAAATTTTTAACATTCAATTATTCGTTCATTTTAATTTTTCCGCCACCATATAAAATGAAAGCAATGCAAAAGCATCAATGATGCGTTTCCCTTCATACAATCAGCGCCTCCATTGACAACCGCAGTACTAGAGGTTAATTACAAGTGTCTTACCGGCCTTTTAGGAGATGATGGAGCAATTGACCTCTGATAGCCTCACTTACACGGTGAAACATAAATCATTAAGTTTATTCTCTTCATGCAATGTACCATAATAACGTTTTTTTCTACAGATTACACCGTAAGAGGATACTTCCCCGCTACAAATAAAAGTCTTATCAATGAATTCGCGTCTAAAATGAGGTTCAAAGAAGCTATCGTTATTTTTCAAGTAAGTTGTTTTTTATTCATTTAGTACCATGCCTTTTGGCCACTTCACATTTATATGCGACACAGCACATAGATAAATGATAAAAGGAATATAATAAATAGTTACTGAGAATACTCGAAAATCAAAAATACCCAATAAATATGCAAGGGTCGTTAATCAAACTTGAAATCTATTCAACAAGCCTAATTAGATAGCGAGTGTACTTATGGAACCCATACAAGAAATGTGTCGCGGAGAACCTAACGGGTAACCGGGGCTCCGGCTGGACGTGCAGGAGAAGGAACGGGGTGGTTTTTAGTCAGTAAGAGTCTGACACTCCCTCTCGCCTCACCCAGGCGGGAGCAGTCATTCGATGATTTTCCCCCTTAAAAAAAAATACAAGAAATGTATTGTAGCAATAAATGTACTTATAATTATAAGCAATGTGTTGTCCAATCAGAAAATGTCCGGTGAGACATGGCCAGATAGACTGAACTACACGATACGAATAAAGGACGACTTCGGGATCAACTCGTACGAGAGCCTCGATGTCAATCCTGGACCACATAGAATGTTTGGTAAGACGTCGTCTTTGATATATATATTATAATTACACTTTTTAACCGAATTCAAATTAGTAATAAATTAAATATATTTTCCACTAATCAAGCCATTTTGTTTGACATCCATAATAGAAGTTATTGTGAAAATAGAATAGATTCTAATGTTTGAAGATTAATCAGATTGACTGCCTCGTTGGCCGAGTGGTCGTAAGTGCGACTGCCGGGCTAGGGGTCTCGGGTTCGATTCCCGGGTCGGGCAAAGTATTACTGGGTTTTTTCAAATATTCTCAGTAGTAGCACGGAGTCTGGAATTGTGCCCGGTATATGGCAATAGGCTCACCCCCTATTACATGGGACTCATAACATAAATAGTGAAAAGTGGGTGTTACATTGTACAGTGGTTTAATGTGCACCTCTGCCTACCCCTTAGGGGATAAAAGGCGTGATGTTATGTTATTAATCAGAATCAGGCCAATCTGTCGCTAGGAAGGGGATAAAATTCCAAGTACTTTTGACTGCAAACATACAAACGGCACAGGTTAGATAAAACCTTTTCAAAACAAGTTGTAAGTTTAACATATCTAAATTCTACTAGCTTCTGCCCGCGACTTCGTACGCGCAATCTCGTTTTCACCCGTTCCCGTAGCATTTTCAGGACTTTTTTTCTGTCATAAGAGCCTTCTCTTGACAATAATAAACACAAGAAAAAAAAACAGTCAAATCAGTCTAGCTGTTATGGGGTGACAACGGGAAACGGGTTTCATTTTTATATATATTCGAGTCAGTAGTGGAAATGAGGTATTTGAATCACTGCTCGGTCGTCTCCAAAAATGAATATTTGTAGGTCTGTAGGTCGGTTAAGCTTATGACGTACAATCGGTACAATAGAGATTAGTTTTTTTTATGGCATAAGCCGGTAAACGAGCAGACGGATCTCCTGATGGTAAGCAATCGGCGTCGCCCATGGACCCCTTGGAACACCAGAGGCGTTACAAGTGCGTTACCGGCCTTTTGGGGATTAGGAGTTTGAGGATCGTTGGGGGTTCAGGAATTGGGGAGATTATGGAAGGGGAGGGTAATTGGACCTCCGGTAACCTCACTCACACGACGAAACACAACGCAAGCCGAGCCGGCCCAGTCGTGCCGAAGCATGGCTCTCCCACACTTAAAAGTTTGAAATTACTTACAGCTTCTACCGTTTTTACGTTAAAATTCCTCTTATCGAATTTGTTTTTATCTATCCCAGCCCTGTATAGCTTCACACACATTAATAAACTAAAAATACTGTTTAAATACTAAATACTAAATGTATTTTCATTATTTTATATTCACTAGGTATAAAATACGAGACGTTCATGCGTATCCAGTGGGCGATCGACACGAGCTATCTCAAACTGCTGACCAGCACTGAAGTTACTCAGGTAATCCTATATTAACATAAATCTATCTTATCTAACTATGCAGGGTGTAAACGAAACCGAAAACACAGATTATTTTTAACCGACTTCAAAAAAGAAGGTTCTTTGACTTTTATGTGTAAATTTTGAGCGATTATCTCGCTTTTGCGCGATTGGCTGAACCGTATTTGATGCGGTTTTCAAAAAAGTGGTTGTTACTCTTTTAGTATATTAATTAACAGACTGCAAAAATAGGGGTTTGAGTTCGGCTTTTTTTCTTTTTTTTTCTTATTTGATAGGCCGACGTTTAACCACTATCTCGCCTTGTGGTAACCGATGATGCGGTCTACGGTGGATCTCGTTATCCCATAAGCAACCTATTCACGCGGGCCTTAAAGACACCCGGGTACCCTTCAGGAAACACATACATGGCAAAGAAAAACGAACAGACGGATCACCTGATGTTAAGTAATCGTCGCCGCCCATAGACACCTGAAACACCAAGGCGTCACAAGTGCGTTACCGGCCTTTTGGGAATTGAGAATTTGAGGATTGTGGAGGATTCGGAGATTGGGGAGACTGGGGAGGTAATTGTGCCTCCGGTGACCTCACCCACACGACGAAACACAACGCAATCATTGTTTTACGTCGGTATTCTGTGAGCTTAACCATTCCAACCCAGTCATTAACAATTTTTTTCGGAACTAAATCATTACTACGGAACAGTTAAGTCTCTGTTTAATTGTTTCTAAGACCAGCAGATTATCTGTTAGTAATTGGTTGCTACTGACAACTCAAGTATTCAAATCGTCAACCTACATGACAAAAAAATCGATATCATAATTGAAACGTGGCTATAAAAGTTTGTATAACTTTACCTAATTGGGATGATGACAGGGTATGAAAATTAAAAATCTAATTAGTCCGTAAGTTAGGTAATGAAAAAATATTAGACACGTATTTTTTTATTTTGTCGTATAATAAAACAATACTTAGATAAAACGAATCAAAGTTTAGGAGTGGGGGCTAAAACGTCATTTCTACGTATAAAATGTACATAGAAGTGACGTCACGCGACATTTCAAATCAATATATCATCGAAAGTATTCGTTTCTGTAAAAACAAATCCAATTTTTTAAAATAATCTACCAGACGGACATTAAAATAAAAATTAGTCATCTACCCTATTATGTACTTTCTAAGTTTATTTAGACACCACTGACGTACGCTGAAGGGAAACTTCGGTAGGAAACCTAGACATTCATTTTAAAGTTTGAAATCGGTCGTTGGTGCGTTTACAAACGTACAAAAGCATATACACATTACACCCACACCTTTTTTTTGAGGGGGGATAATCATCCAATAACCTCTTCCCTCCACCCAGGCGGGAAGGAGTGTCAGATTCTTACTGACTAAAACCACCCCGTTCCTATTCCTGCTCTTAAGAGGATTAAGTTTGAAAAATCGCTAGTGGTTTTGTTTCTTCGCGCCCAAGTGAATAATAGTTTTCTATTTATTTTCAATGATTCTCTTTAATATTTTGTCTGCCAAGTCAAAAGGAAAATGAGCCAAGCTACAACCACATACCATGTCAACATAATTATTTTTGTTGGCTTATGCTGCTATCAGTAAAATTCATGTTATTTAGAAAATACAAGCTGCACAATTAACAAAGGAAATAAAACGATCCTAATTAATGTACATAATTTTGCATCGAATAAATAATATGAATAATTATGTAGATGAATGTTATAGTGAAAGAGATTTATGTTTAACTAGCATCTACCCGCGGTTTCGCCTGCGTTCCCGTGGTATAAAAAGTAGCCTATCTGTTATTCCAGACCATAATCTATCCCCGTTCCAAATTTCATCCCGATCCTTTCAGCCGTTAGCAAAAGACATACACACAAACACAAACTTTTACATTTATAATATTAGTAAGATGACGAACTTAAATTCGCTGTACGACGTTCGCTACGTTTTGTTCTGTCTATGAACCCCTATCGGGGCTCGAAACTAGTCGAGCATCCTCGTACGTAATTAAGCAGTTATATAAATTTGAAGACAAAAGTGAATTTATGAATCTTACTGGTCACGATCACAAATATATGAAACTTATTGTTATAAAAACACAAATTCTGGTACTTATAGTGGTCTGATAAACGTATTAATTTAGTCGAACGTCTCCTTATTATAGGAAGCCTAAAATAACAGACGGAAATGCAACTTAGACATAACATCTGGATGTACTATTCTCTATACAAAAACCGGCAAAGCCAAATAAATTCGCTAGAAAATCAAAATAACCCTATGAACAATGGCCTCACATTTCAATCGTGGAGAAAACAATGCCTATTGTGTCCTGACAGGATATGGTCACAGGCCACTAGTATGACAAATCACCATGCAATTATCTTATCATTCATGGCTACTGCCAGATGATCAGATAACAACTTAAACACCACTAGTCACACTATACAAGGCAAATGAACACCTATAGCCAATGAAATAAAAACTGTTTTTGAATATAACTATGAAGTTGTATGTACTATGTAGTATCAACATAAATATTGTAAATATTATTGTACTTAGCGTTTATAATTAACATTGTTCGTGTTATCGCAATTAATGTAGTAAAATGGTAACTGTGGTTTATCAGTATGCCGTATACCTAATTTTATCTTAAACGGTTCAGTAGTTTTTGCGTTTATGAGTAACACATCACATAGATACACTTATTTATATGTAAACTAGCGACCCGCCCCGGCTTCGCACGGGTGCAATAGGCATGTATTATACATACAAACCTTCCTTAAGAATCACTCTATCTATTAAAAAAAAACCGCATCAAAATCCGTTGCGTAGTTTTAAAGATCTAAGCATACATACGGACATACAGCAAAAGCGACTTTGTTTTATACTATGTATTGATGTGTGTGTTACTTTTGTGTGCACCTCTGCCTACCCCTACGGGGATAAAAGGCGTGATGTGATGTTATGTTATATTATTAGAGGAGAAAAAAAACGAAATAGTGTTCAATTCTCTCGGCGGATTTAATACTGGAGTCAGGGATTTATTTTTTTTAATGGGGGAAAATCATCGAATGACTGCTCCCGCCTGGGTGAGGTGGGAGGGAGTGTCAGACTCTAACTGACTAAAAACCACCCCGTTCCTTGTCCTGCACGTCGAGCCGGAGCCCCGGTTACCCGTTAGGTTCTCCGCGACAGGAGTCAGGGATACGAAGCCGAGGGTGCAGAAAGACACTCCCTCCCGCCTCACCCAGTCGGGAGAAGTCATTAGATGATTATGATGAAGGGGGGAACCCTAAAAAAATACGTCTATAAAAATCTTATTAATAAAATCAAATCATTGATTTCTATATCATTGTTTATGACGAACCAGACAGGAAGGAAGCGTACTGGGAGCTTTTCCACAATCACATACATAAAGATAATATACACAAGAATTGAGTAAGAACTGGAACTCTATCTTGTCCAAATAACCACCAATACTACTAATACTACAAATGCGAATGTTTGTATGTTTATTTGTTACTCCTTTATGTCAAAACGGCTGAAGCGATCGGGATCAAATTGGAACAGGGGTAGATTTTTTTTTTATGGCAGAAGCCGGTAAATGTGCAGACGGATCACCTGATGGTAAGCAATCGGCGCTGCCCATGGACACCTTGAACACCGAAGCGTTACAAGTGCGTTACCGGCCTTTTGGGGATTAGGAGTTTAAGGATTGTTGGGGATTCGGGGATTGGGGAGATTGGGGAAGGGGGGAGGGAGCTGGGCCTCCGGTAACCTCAGTCACACGACGAAACACAACGCAAGCGTTGCTTCTCGTCGGTTTTCTGTGAGGCCGTGGTATCACTCCGGTCGAGCCGGCCCATTCGTACCGAAGCATGGCTCTCCCACACTTAAATTACAGTCTGGGATAACACATAGGATACTTTCTTCGCACAGAAGCTGGTTTTAAATGAACATGAACATATTATAAAATTTAAATAATGATTGGACGAATGCCTTGTATTTTATTGGCGACATCTATACTATAGCTCTCGTTCACGTTACGCAACTAGAAACTGCAATTATTTCTCAACTACATTTTGTCACTGAACGACCTTTAAACTGTTGGTTACTTGTTTAATCGCAATGAGTTGTAAATGAGAAAGCTTAGTGTCTTAATCACTATTAAGGCAAGCAAGTGATTTTTTTAAGGGGAGAAAATCATCGAATGACTGCACCCGCCTGGGTGAGGCGGGAGGGAGTGTCAGACACTTACTGACTAAAAACCACCCTGTTCCTTCTCCTGCACGTCGAGCCGGAGCCCCGGTTACCCGTTAGGTTCTCCGCGACAAGTGATCAGTGTCGGATTCCTTTTCTTAGGGGGAAAGTCATCCAATGAATTCTCCAGCCTTGAGTGAGGCGAGCGAATTCAGACTCTTATAGACTAAAAACGTTTCTACTCTGACTGGAGCCACTGGCACACACCCGGCGGTTATGTCTTCCGCGGCTCCGTATCCCTGACTCCTATATTAAATCCGCCGAGGGAACTGAACACTATTTCGTTTTTTTCTCCTCTAATAACATAACATAACATAACATCACGCTTTTTAACCCTGTAGGGGTAGGCAGAGGTGCACACAAAAGTAACACCCACTTTTCACTATGAGTCCCATGTAATAGGAGGTGAGCCTATTGCCATATACTGGGCACATTTCCAGACTCTGTGCTACTATTGAGATTTTTTTTAAAACCCAGTAATACTTTCCCCGACCCGGGAATCGAACCCAAGACCCCTTGCCCGGCAGTCGCACTTGCCACCACTCGGCCAACGAGGCAGCCTCTAATAATATCTTGTGATTGATTTCTTTGCAGTGTCTAAGACAGGACGGTGTCCTCATGGTTATATCTATTGCAAATTCTACATTATATTTCTATAGTATAAAAAGATAAATCAGTAGTACTTTTTTATACAATAGGCAGGTTGTAAGTTCCTTAGTCATCGCATCACCTTTTAATTATATAATAACTGGATTGATTACGCTATTATTTGTCGTGTTTGTTATGTAAAATGAAAACAAAGTAAATGGCACGTCAGTGACGTCGCGCTGGTAATGACGATGCGTGGAACATAATATCATAATGATGTGCTTCTAAATTATACACATGGCATTCGTAGCTATAAGGAAAATTAAAACAAATTACTGAATACAGATATCACAACAAAACTAGAATTAACTGTCCGACACGGACTTCGAATCTTCAAGAAAATAACGTATTTTCCTACATACAAGACCACTCACTTGTGGCTCCTATATCCATGGTCAACACCAGATATTATTTCGTGTGAGAATCAGTATCAGTCAGAGAGCAATAGGCTCACCCCCTATTACATGGAACTCATAACATAAATAGTGAAAAGTGGGTGTCACATTATACAGTGGCAAAGTGCCATAATGTGCGCCTCTGCCTACCCCATCGGGGACAAAAGACGTGATGTTATGTATAGCGAATCAGTGGCAGTTGTACGTTAAGTGCGCTCGTGCGCTGAACCACCAATTCAAAATATTTAAAAATTACAAAATATTAAGTACCTACTTCATCGTTATTTTTATATTACAATTTTAATATTTATAGTTAGAGAGATGACGACCAAAATTTTTGTCTCATAGCAACACGGCCAAAACCGCCTCAAATCGATAGATACGATTATCCTGAACTCGAAAATACCAATATCAGACATTTTTCGCGTAGCGTTTGATCTGACCACAAAAACACCAGACAAAAAAAATGTCTCATAGCAATACGTCTGAAAATCTTTTTTATTAGTAAATTTTGGTTATTTGATGCGAACAAAACAATTTTCAGACGGAAATGTGAACGCATTAAATATTGAGACCGTTT